TAAGGATTTTTTTCCTAATTTATGTGGTAATATACACTATATACATTGTACATATTCTCAGTGATGTGAAATTTTTTAAGTTGTACAGGAGATGAAAGTAGGAAATATGTATATTTCTGTACATATCCCTTTCTGTATGAAAGATACTTTGAGTATGGAAACAATAATTAGTTCAGAAAATCTAAAAATACTATATGTGCGAAAGCTTTAATGCCATAAAGACATCAGCTATTGAATTGTAAAATGTTTACATATAAATATGTAAGAGTTCCGGTACACAAAAATCAAACACATTCACAACAGAAGCACAACAGAAAAAGGCATCTGTGCCCGACAGTGAACACACATCAATCCTTCTATTATCCTTCAGTACCATGTAATGGTCACTATCACAGTATATGGTGTGAGCACTATCACACTACACGGGATGGTCCAAATAGGTGCCGCCGTACCATCTCAGTGTTTACAAATCCTCGTGGCTCACGTCGATGTCACAACACTAAAAGCACACTCGCGTCACCCCGGCCGTCTTCATCTATTCGCTCTTGTTCCTGGATCGTCTGCTGGATCCTCTGCTCTGCAAACTGCCAGGTCACTGCTATGGCGGGAGCGTTAGCAGGAATCTAGCACTGCTCAACCAGAGCCTGCTATTTCTCACTTTTTCATCTCATGCTTTCTCTCTTCCTCTTGTCTTGACTGGGCCACCCCACAAAGCCCCTCCGCTAAGAAACTCCTCATCTCTCCCCTCGTTTTCTTCCTTTGTCTACCATGGTATTCTTGTCAGAATCCAAATTACACTATATGAACGGTTCTTGCATGTAGCAATATTAAAAAAATGTAATGTTTCCTTAACTTACTAATACTGCAAATATTATTTTGGAATGCATGTTTATTAAATTACGGTAATTGGTAATTATTGAAATCGTTTATTGCCTAAACAACGTGCTGATGAAAGATAAAACCATGAAATGAAGTATGAAGATACCGCAAGCATGAATAAGCGCCTTATGATACTAGTGAAACAAAATAAATTCGTTTATTGTATCTAATTCTTTTATAATTATTTAGTTCTTCAGTTAAGCTGGATCAAGTTATTGGGCACAGTAGTGTTTCATGCAGCAATGTTTACATCTCACTTTGGAAACTGCTGAGCGACGACAACAAATCTTGTCTTTCTCTACTTACTAATATTATATTTTCGTATACATAACATCAGTTGACATTTGATTTGCATGTCCGTAGCATTCGAAGCTCAGAGATCTTAGTAAGCATTTTTGGAGTAGGATTCCGTGTGGGATGAAGTTAACAGCTGAAACTTAGTATATCCAGAAACACAGACATTTGCTTCCGATCCAGGTCACAATCCGCCCGAAAACTGTGCGCTTTACTAAGGAGCCACCGAACCCAACTAATCTGAATACGGATTGTCGTGGTGATTCAAAGCCACCCGAGCGATCCTTGAAAGGGTCATGCTCTCATATCCGGTGTCCGTTTGGCACTCGATACGCTTGGGATCAAAACAAACCTGACTGAGTGCTGTTACTCCAAAATGTACAAAAGATGGCTCAGTCACTGACGTTTGTAATGACAGTGATTACCATCCTATATTTGAGCTCATTTACCTCTGTGTTGAGAACCATATGAACATAGGTGCCGGAATTGATATTTTCTTTCCTCGGTTATTATCTTTCGCCGTCTTATTCGGTTAAAATGTTATTAAGCTGTGTGTATTTCATTGTTACTTTTCATTAAATTTCAAATTGATTTTTGAATACATTTATGTACCACTGTTTTGTAAAACTGTTTTACTATTTTGTCACATTATTAAAATGTTATCAGTTATCAGAGCGAGAGATTATAACAGGCAGGTGTTCATTCCTTCTACCCCGAGAGATGGAACGGGATATTCGCAGGAAGTGGAATCGATAAATCATTTAGCCTCCCGCGAAGGGCGCTCTCTTGCCACTTGAAGGAGCCTCACATTTAATGCAGCAAAATCCAGTAGTAAATATAAAAAGAGAAGTTGGGTGCCGGCGGAGGCGCGTTCCCGCACGCGATTCGGTCTCTGCCGCTCCAGCTGTTACGTCAGCTGCCTCGCCCGGCATACGGCGCTTATCGAGCATATCAGAGCGCTCAGGAGAGTCTATGAGAAGTGCATAACAGCCTCGTTTGCTGGCCCTCGTTGCAGTCGATACTGTGATAACTGAAACATGATTAATTGAGCCCTTTTCCGGCACGTGCTCTGTTACCGGGTCGGTTACCGAGCGTCAAAATTATCTCCATAATCTATCGGCAGTTTTAGCGATCAGAACCATAATTCTATAGCCGACTATACTCTCCACGAACTTCTAACACTCGCATCTCACCGAAAGAGTAAGTATATGGCGAAAATGTGTGAGAAAAGAGCCGGAAATAAAAAAACAAGAGCCGGCAACCCAGTGCGCACCTGGCCGGTACGGAGTGCGCCGTATCGTCACATTCTTGTCTAAGCCCAGCACTT